CCTGCGCCCCCCCAGGGTCCCTTTGGCACCGGCGTAGGGAGCAGGAGCCAAGGGGGAAATGGCCGGCCCCCGGATGGGGACAGGATTGCTGCCATGTCCGGCGGTGCCCAGGCCATCCCCACCTTCCCCCCGTCCATCCCCGCTCAGGCACCCGATCCCTGGCCGTGTTTTGGGCTGTGTTTTGGCACTCTCCTTCCCTATCCCCATCCCTTCCCCTGCTTTCCGTCACCACGATGAAGCCCCCGTCCCCCCATGCAGATGTTGGACCACCAGCACCTGGGCCACCCGTGGCCGCCGCCTCCCTCCTCCTCCTCCTCCTCCTTCTCCTCCTCCTCAGCCCCTCGCCACCCCCATGATGAAATATCTGTGGGTTGTGCAAGCGCTGGGGCTGCAAGAGGGGCTCTGGCAGAGCAGACGGCAGAGCACAGCCCCTCCGCGGCATCGGACCTCGGGGGTGTCCGGACCTCGGAGCCCCAACCCTGTCCTCAGCCCCACCAGGCACCAGGAGCGGCACAGGGAACAGGGAGGCTGGAAAAGCCGCTCTCCCGGGATTTGGCCTGTCCCCATATGGCACAGGGTGCTGGTGACGGTGCAGCCGGTGTCCCCTGGGGACAAGGTGTGCTCCCCATGGTGCCAGAGCCATGCCCTGCCATGCCAGGGGAAGTTTCCCCCTCCCCACGGTGCTCTCCCCGCAGTCTTCCCCACTCCCAGCCCTCTTATTCCCCAAATTTAACCCCTCTCCGCACACGACCAACCTCTCTCCCCCGTGCGACCTTCTTCGAGTCACTATGGTTGGCTCCGGCTGTGGCCACGAGGACCACGGCGGCAGCGAAACCGCAGAGCAGCCACAGCCTCATGGCGCTGCGCGGGGACACGGCTGTCCGGCTCAGGTTGTCCCGGTGCCACCACGCACTCCCCGGCCTGGACCTTGGCCCCTGATGTCAGTGGCCGGGGCTGCTCCGGGGCACCCAGCCCGGCGTCCGGCTGCCGGCCACGGTCGATCGGAGTGAGCTGTCGCCGCAGTATGCCGCGGAGAGCAAAGGACCTCAGTGGGGCCAGAGGGACGGGCAGCGCCGTCACTTCTGGACAAGGGATGGGGCAGAACCCCCTCTGCTCTTCCACTGGTTGGGTTGGGATGGAGGAAACATGTCCCCAAAACGGGTGTCTTGGCCTTCCTCTTCTTCCTCTACCCACCTCTTCATCCCGTCTGCAATCCCAGGCCAAAAGCGTCATGGGCACGGAGCAGCTCCAGGTGCCGGGGGAGCCCTGAGCTCCCCAAAATGCTGCTCTGCGGTTGCCGGTGCTGGGGATGTGGATGGTACAAGCAGAATAAAGAGTTCCACCAGCAATGGGAGGTAAAGAGAGGATAAACTCTGAGAGAACAACTCACACAACAGCGTGGAAAAGAGAATTGGATTAAGGAGGAACCACACACGCGAGACACGGGATATTTAGAGTTTTTAATAAAGAAAAGGAAAGAAATCCAGAGAAGCGGTTACACAGAAGCCTGAGTAAAGTTGCCGAGAGACCAGCTGGCAAACACGAGCACCGGCCTGGGTCCACAACGCTGCGGGACTGGGGAAATAAGTTAGAAAACACCCTGAGCCTGGAGGTCTCATTGCATTAGATCTATGATTATTTGTAGCAAGAAACTATAGAGTTCATGAATATCAGGAGAATCAACCACCTTTTAGATAGCGAGGAGGCTGCAGCCTGTGGGGCTGCCTCACAAAAGGAGATTTTATTGTTCACACGGCACTTTAATACAAAGCTTAGTGACGTTAGAGCATTTACAGACACTCAAGGAAAGGAGCGCGTTTCCAGAATTATTCTTGGTTCTTTGTAGTCGAGGTCAAGTTCAAGAGTCCCCCCCCAGCTCTCCTGGAGCCCCTTTAGGCACTGGAAGGGGCTCTGAGGTCTCCCCTTTTTGGCCTTCTCCTCTCCAGGCTGAACCCCCCCAACTCTCCCAGCCTGTCCTCCCAGCAGAGGGGCTCCAGGCCTCTGGACAGATAGTAGATACTGCATAAAATGAGCTGAAATCCACAAGCAAATTAATTTAATAAAAACACATTAAGTAGATAAAGAGGAATACAGAACAAAGGTAACAGCAAGACAAACAGTTTACAGAGACAACATGGGCCGCACCTGCAGCCAGCCGGACGCCCGGCCTACCCCCGCCGGGCCCGGAGCCACCGCGGCCCCCAGGTC